AGCGCGAGATCCCCAGACACGAAACGCAGACGCATCGCCAACCTTCCCCGTCCACCGCAGAGTAGGGGAGGTCTCCGGCAAGGAGACTCGGAGCTGAAGGTTGATCTGATGCGCCGCGTACTGAACCGCGAACGGCCACAGAAAATGGGGAGCAGCCGCATGAATCATGGACGTACGAGCAACGTCCATGACCATGCCAATGCGGCGCTCAGCAATCCCATTTTGCTGTGGGGAGGCCGGAAGCGTGAACGTCTGGCGGATGCCCTGTGCACGACAGAAGGCTCCCAGAAGGCCAGAGGAAAACTCTCCGCCTCTGTCAGAGTGCAGACGCAGAACAGGAAAGTCCGAGCCGAAACTCTCTCTGAGCTGGAGACGAGCTGCGCGGATCCAGTCGATCAACACCTCAGTGACGTCACCCTTGCTGCGCAAGGGGAAAAACCGTGGTGTAACGCGAGTAGTCGTCAACAACCAACAGGAAGTAACGCTCGTGACCCAGGCCACGGACGCGGGCGGGGCCCCACACGTCCATGTGAAGAGTCTGCAGCGGAGCCTCTGTCGGAGGAAACTCTGAGGAGTGAGGAGCGGCGCGCTGCCGCCCCTCGACGCAGGGAACGCAGGTAGGGGCAGGCCCCGGAGGTAGGGGAGGGAGGGACCGGGGGAGACCAGAGACAAGGTAACGGGAGGCCATGCCTCGGAGACGAGGCAGGGAGGGGTGACCAAGGCGGTGGTGCCAGAGGAGAGTCTGGTGGGACAGGAGACGACACGAGCAGGGAGCAGACTCAGGACCAGACCTGGACGCTGCAGCAAACACCTGACCCGACGCAGCTACCTGACCAGACTCAGCAACAGGAGGAGACTCAGTAGTCAGTGTGTACAGGCTCGACCCCGGCTGACGGGTAAACGTGGCCAAGTGTCGGCCCGTCCGAGCACACGTACAGTGGGTCACCCGCTGACTCGCAGGAGTGAACTGGTCAACCCCCCCATCCTGTAGATCAGCACCACTCACCAAGTTCGTAGAGAACGAGGGGAGGTAGAGACCTGACAGGGCGCCAGAGGGGGCCGCCGGACACGGTAAGACAGTGGAGAAGTGGGCAAGGACAGGACCCCCAGAGGGGTCCGCCAGGGGGACCGCAACTGGCCGACTAAGCGGCGTAAGCGTGGTGCGGTCTCGAAAGAAGGAGCGGGAAGCACCCGAGTCAAGAGTGAAGGCGTGTAAGGCCTGAGCCGACGTGGTACCTGAGAGAGCAGACTCACCAGCACCTGGGGCAGCAGACGCACTAGCACCTAGAGCAGCAGCCTCACCAGCACCTAGAGCAGCAGCCTCAATGCCCGGGTCAGGCGGAACACACAGGTAACAGTCACCCTCATCACTAGTAGACACAACATACATGGCAGCAAGAATAGCATCATAATCCAGATTAAAGATAGCAACCCCCGACCTAAGCAGCTCACCCCAGCGGGGGATCTCAGTGGCGTCAGGGAACTGGAGATGCCAAGCGTCCGTCAGGCGGCCGAAGCAGCGCTGGGTGGTGTGCGGGCCACCGCACGGCTCACCAGTGCGGTCGCCGGTACGCAGGACGTAGGCACAGGGACCAGCACCCCCACCCCGCTGACGCGCAGCGTACCACTCACGAAGCTGCTGGGGGGGCGGGGTCTCACGAGTGCGCTGCTGCTGCTGGCGCTGACCACCACCGAAGCCGCTCCGCTGCGCAGAGCCACCCCGACCAGCTCCACCTCCGCCGCCGCCACCTCCACCACCGCCGCCACCGCCTCCTCCTCCGCTCCCACCGCCACCGCCGCCGCCGCCTCCGCCTCCACCGCCGCCACCGAAGCCCCCACCCCCGCCACCACTCCCACCGCCACCCCCACTCCCCCCGCCGCCTCCACCGCCACCTCCACCGCCCCCGCCAGCCCCTCCAGCGCCCTTGCCCCCCTTGCCCTTGCCGGTGCGGCGTCTCCCGCTAGGGGCAGACGCAGCACCGACCGACTCGGTGCCAACGAAGTCGACGGCAGCAGCAGAGGCAACAGAGGGCAAAAGGGGGGAGGGGGAGCACCCCTCAAAGAAGGGGGCACGAGGGTCACCACGAGAGGCTCCTACAGCGACTATACTCTTCTCAGCTGCCAGGAGGCGCTCCTCGAGGAGGTCAACGGTGAGTGTGGTGGGGCAAACAGAGAGGAAGTGGTCCCTGACCGAGCGAAGGGAGTCAGGGAGCTGGGTGACTATGTAGTAGAGGGTGATGTACATGGGGGGGGGGGGTTCTTGGCACAGAACTCAGCAGGAAGCGCAGCGCGGTAGCGGGTGTCACTAGTGCGAAGGTGCGTAATGAGGTCAGCGACTGTGGGAAAGGCGGCGAGGTCAGGGAACAGGTACGGCAGCATGAGGCGGCTAAGGGCAGCAGTGGCAGGGGAAGAGTAGCGTGCGACTACAGCGTCGTACAAGGTCCTAGCACTCTTGTACTGACTGAAGTGCGCGCGCTCAGAGGACGGCAAGTGACTACGCACAGCAAGACGGGCAGCAGCATCGCGTGTGGCCCACTATGAGCGAACAGTGCTGTCAGCATCGGCAGCAGGGGCAGCAGAGGCGCCAGACGTGAGATCGAACAGTGAGAGACCGTCTTTCCTATCGCACTGTAGGAAAAGCTGTAGATCATCGACCCAGACCTCAAAGTCAACAGCCCGACCCTCAGCATCAAAGACGAGAACGCTAGGGGTAGCCATGACAGCAGTGGCAGCAGGCTAGGGGCAGCAGCAGCAGTAGCAACAGTAGGGGCGCGGCTCGGCGGTGCTCTTACCAGGGCAGGTGGGTAGAGGTCCGCAAGTGGTGGGGCAGGGCCGAGGCGCGCCGGCAGGGACGGGGCCGCTACAGGGCGGCAGAGGACTGCCGCTCCTCTCTGCAGGGCAGGGCCGGAACGGCGGCGGCGGCCCCTGCTGTCGGCGGCGGCGGCGGCTGCAGTCGTCGGCTGCAGCGGCGGCGGCCCCGGTAGTGGCGGCAGCAGCTGCTGCTGTTGGCGGCTGCGGCGGCTGCGGCCCCGGCTGTGGCGGCGGCGGCTGCTGCTGTCGGCGGCTGCGGCGGCTGCGGCTCCCGCTGCAGGGGCGGCGACGGCTGCTGCTGCAGGGGCGGCGACGGCGGGGCGGCAGGTCCGTGAGGTAGCCGAGAAGGGGCCGCGGAGGAGCTGAGAAGGGGCCGCTAAGGGCGGTGAAGGGGCTGCGAAGGGGCCGTGAGGGGCCGCGAAGGGCGGCGACGGGGCCGAGACGGGGCCGTGAGGGGCCGCGAAGGGCGGCGACGGGGCCGAGAAGGGGCCGCGAGGGGCCGCGAAGGGCGGCGACGGGGCCGTGAAGGGGCCGCGAGGGGCCGCGAAGGGCGGCGACGGGGCCGTGAAGGGCGGCGACAGGGCCGCGAAGGGCGGCGACGGGGCCGTGAAGGGGCCGCGAGGGGCCGCGAAGGGGCCGCGAGGGGCGGTAAGGGGCCGCGAAGGGCCGTGAGAGGGGCCGCGAAGGGCGGCGGAGGGGCCGCGAGGGAGCCGCGAAGGGGCCGCGAGGGGCCGTGAGAGGGGCCGCGAGGGGCCTCGAAGGGCGGCGACGGGGCCGCGAAGGGGCCGCGAGGGGCCTGAAGGGGCCGCGAAGGGCCGTGAGAGGGGCCGTGAGGGGGCCGTGAGAGGGGCCGCTACGGGGCCGTAAGAGGGCGCGACGGGCCGCTAAGGGCAGGGGACGCGACGGGAGGGTAGGCACGCGCGGCGCGACTCGGGCAGGAGCGAAGCGCGCTCCGGGCAGGAAAAAAAAAATTCGATTTTCAGTGGTGGGCCCTAGGAACGTTCCCACTAGGGAACCTGCTCTATACCATGTGAAGATTACGAGAAATGAGTGCACTAGGAAACAGGTGGGTACAAGTAGGAAAACCTAAAAATGTTGTACCCTATATTGTCAACCCCACTACAGCCTACACAGACTATAGCATATAAGTTTGACATGAGAACGGAAAGTCGAGAATGCACATCCCAGAAAGCATATTTCTGAATGCATGTGCCACAATAAATGAATATCTCAGAATGCATTTCTCAACTTACATCTCTCTGCGTCCTTCTCTCGAAATAAATCTCTCAGAAAGCATCCTCAAAATATTCCATCCAGATTCAATATCTCAAATGCATCTCTCACAAACCGTCATTCAGAATGAGTATCTATAGATGCCATCCCATGCTATGCATGTCTCAGAGTTAAGCGCATGACCATACCTACCACATGACAGCATTGATCATCATCCATGCATGTTTCGTACAATTCATGCATGCCTATGCACGCACACACACCACAACCATTGATCATACATGATGGTGCGTCAAGCTACCGAAACCGTACCATGACTCGTCACACCTGATTTCGGCTTGGATGGAGTTGGCAACTCGATTGGAGCCTCAAGTCTCCTGCTGGTCGCCATGAAGCATCTCCAAATAGCCTTTCATCCAGCAGCCAAGCCAACCTGGTAGGAGTTCGTGACAACACAAGAATGATGTGGCATTTTCAACACAAAATTGATTTGGGGAGTACATGATCATGACCGTTATGTGCCACGACTGTCAGTTGTCCTCCTGGAAGCATTTATAGCTCCTTCTGCATGTCTATTTGTGAACATGCTGACTGAAGACAGACACTGGGTTGGTCTCCAATGCTAGCCGCCAGCCAAAACTTGACAGTATCCTGAATAGCTTCTCTATTTCCCACAAAAATTGCTTTGGCTATGCACCCTTGATACATCGAAAGTGTAAGACACAGTTCTAACTATCCAAGCAACAAACAATGTTACAAGTCAAGAAACAGCAGAGAATATACTACGAATGTTGTGCCTGTCCAGTCCACTCAATTCCCTCGACCTCCCTAGCACCAGGCCCACTGGTGCAAGCGCAGTTTCAAAGACACCTTCCATATCAAGCATCAGCCAGCTCTAAGACATTACAAGCGCTGAATTAAGTCCCATTAAGAGCGTCTGCAGGCAGCCAGGCGAGTCAATCATCTTCAAGCCCCTCTACAATCAGCTGCACGAAATTCGCAGGAAGGGAGGGGATGGAGGTGTTGCGCAGTGTCAGCCGGTGCAGCTGGGTGAGAAAGTCCGGGAGGTGCTGCAAGGCGGTGCAGCGAATCAGCTCCAGTTTGCACAGCCGAGACAAGCGGCTCATGCCTCGAGGTAGCGCCACCAGCTGAGGTGCGTGAAGCTTGAGTGACGTCAGCGAGCTGAGCCCCCAAATGCTTTCTGGCAGCTCCTCCGGTGACCAAGAAAGCAGCTCCAGCTGCCGCAGCTGCGGCAACACCGTTCCCATGTTTCCTGGGAGGCTGCGGACTGCAGGTGCCTTTATCAGCAAGCTGCGTAGGCGAGGGAGAAATGTCAATGGGATTGGTAGCTTCGGATTGCTACCTTCTAAGTGCATTTCCAGCTGCTCCAGCTGCTCCAGCTGCGCCATGTGCTTCTGCTGCTCGAGTTTCTCCAGCCGCTTCAGCATCTCCAGCTGCTCACTCATCAAGTTGCGTAAGTGAGGGAGGAAAGTCGAAGGAAGCGGGAGCTCTCGACCTTCTCCTTCAGAATATAAGCCCAGCTGCTCGAGCTGCTCCTCACACGACAGCCTCCAGCTCACTGCAGGCCCGCATTCCACGTTGACGCAGTTCAGCTTCAGCACCCTCAGCAGCGATGGCATAGAAATGTCCACCATATGGAAAGAGCCTTTCCTAAAAGGCCCCAAGCTGAGGGTCTCAAGAGAAGGGGGCAGGGCGGTAGGGGGTCCATTCAGCTGCCGACACTCTGTCAGCTCCAACCTCTTCAGCCTCACGAGAGTATCCAGCCTCGAGGGTACTTCCGAGAGTAACTTGCAGTGTCTGACCTCCAAGGTCTGAAGTCTTGTAAGGCGTGTGAGCGAGCTAGGAAGCGTGCTGGCTGGAATCTTGATGATCTTCAACTCCTGTATGCCGATCAACTCTCCCAAGGCGTCAGGAAGCTGGACTCCATCACATGCATTCAGCTCAAGGCTCGTGAGGGAAGACAACTGGGTGAATGAAGTCGGGAGGGGAATGCGCTGGCAGTCATGCAACCTGAGAGCTTTCAGAGTTGCAAGGACCCCAACGTCCTCCGGCAATGCAAGATGCTGCGAGTCCGAAAAGCAGAGCGCCTTGAGGGCCATGAGAGAGAAGGAACCTGCCGGCACAGAAAGGTCATAGCACTTATTAAAGAAGAGAGCCTCCAGAGATGTGAGATGGCTAAAGGAAGGAGGGAGATCAAGAATTTCCATTGCGTCCAGCACCAGCAGCTTGAGGGCAGGCATGTGACCAAATCTATCAGGTAATGCAAATTCGTTAGAGATAGAGACGATGAGCTCTTCCAACCGGCTCAAAGAAGTAAAAGTTTCAGGCAGATGAGAGAAAGAATAGCAATCTTGAATGGTCAGCTTGCGAAGGCATGGCACCAAGTCTCCGATGTCGTTAGGAAGGGTCTCCAGTTCACTGCACTCAGTGATGAGCAGCTCCTCTAGCCTGGTAAACGGCGATGCTGATGAAAAGATGGTGCGGAAATCAGGTGAAGAATGAAATAAATTGAACAATTTTAAGCAACATGGCAGGGTTGCGCTTGCACCTGACAGCTGATGGCTTTCGTAAGGGGCGAAGGTGTTGAGATTGTGGAGAAGTGGGAGTTGAAGGAGGCTGGACAGATGCAGAATATTCCAAGGAAATGCGACACAGAGGGTGGTAAGAGCAGTTAGGTTTGTGAAAAAGGGATTCCCCAGCGTTGCAGCACTATTCACAACAAGGGTGTGCAGCTGTTTTAGCTGGAAAAGAGAGTTTGGTAGGTCTGTTGCTTTGTGGACGAAGAAGAGGGAAAGCTGCTGAAGTTTAGGGAGCTTTAGGATGAATCGATCCAAGCCATTGGTGGTTACACCGAAACTGCGATAATTCCACACCCCGTACGCTTCCCTAGCCAGACACCCTAAATAGTTTTTGGTTCGAAGACACGGGCACCCTGAAAATATGGGTCTATAATTAAATTACCGGAACGTCCAGCCTCACGAAACTTACACTATACCGTCAGATTGAGAGGGGAAAATCTCCACATCATGCTTGTACTTCGGGAAATCTCGCCACGGGATTGCGTGAGTGTAACCTATATAATTCAAAAAATGTTGTGAACCACTCTCAAAATCATACTACATGAGGGTGGCTACCCCCGGTCGTGAAGATAAGGGGTGTGGAATTATCGCAGTTTCGGTGTACTGTATGCTCCTCCGTCCTACGATAATGCTTAACGGGTAAGACATCACCCTTGCTCCATGGCCGAGCAAAACTTCTTCCCACATGGAGATTCGTCAGTTTTGGGCATGACGAAGCGAGGTGAGCAAGGAAGGCATCGTTGAGCGACGGAACGCTGTTGTCGCTGAGATGCAGATGGGTGAGGTTAGCAAAACACGCGACGGTGGCTAAGAGATCTTTAAGGGACACCACGGCGTCTTCTTTAACGGAGAGCGTCGTGACTCGAAGCTTTGCTAGTTGACGCCAACGACGACAGATGGACGGTATGCGGAGATTATGGGCCAGGTCAGCGGCTGGAGGAGGGGCTGGAATGTGCGTCTTGATAGTCAGAACTGCTTGCTCGGTATTGGCATTTAAAGGTGACCATATATGACTGCAGGTCCACAAGCTATCTATGTATGACTCGCTTGAAGTGGATTGCTCAAACGACCGCCTCAGGATCGCAAAGAGAAGGTCGTCCGAGAGACTGTTGATGTTCGTGCGAGGCTCCATCATGACGATTCTAATCTAAGGGCTACGGAACTAGTGATGTTGGGCTAAGGAATGGTAAGTAGATGAGAAGTGGCTCTAAGAAGCGTCACGGGGAAAGGGAATCAGCAGCGTACTCACTGGGAGAGTCAGTACTAACGGAGGGGTTCCAGATTTGCGCGATAGGCATCACACTCCTTTCGTGCGATCTGCTCAGGAGTGGAGAAATGAGAGCAAGTGGGAGGAAAGCGATAGAAAGGAGGATGAGGTGATATAAGCACTGGACGGGTGGATGGGGTGTTCGACATAAGAGCGTACGTCCTCATAAGATACTGGGTTTAACTATTAGTATTGCAGCTAGGGCGCAGGAGAAATCTGTATGGAACGATTGCGGCCTTCTAGTTTCGATTTAGGCTATTCCAGTTCTGCCAAACCAGGACGAGGCTGGGCTTTTCAGTTCGCGTGACCTGAGCTTGCTCTTTGAATTTAAAATCACAAGGTCGTTGGGATGAAGCCACTCGAATCATGAAGCGAAACTTGTACGATTGCAACGAGGCAGGAGCAGCAAGCTTGTTTCTCGTTTCCCACCAGTTTTGTGTTGAGGCACTTGCTACAGCGCGTGGAGCGGAACGAAGGGAAGGCGCATGAGAAGCCAGGGAGGATGAGGCTTGGGAATGGTTGGGGCCCAGTTCGGTAGGCATTATGGCCATTTTCACCATTATGGGCATTTTTAACGGGCCCCCAAAAAATGGCGCTTTTGCATTTCCAGAAACAACTTCGAAACTGGACTGTAGCTGCAGTGCACCTTCGGAAAAATGGTATGAGTGTTCGGTTGGCATTAATTGGGTGTAGATTGATGGCATCAATCTAGATTCTGGGTTTTTCAAAAGGTGTTCGAAAGTTGCCTTGATGGATCGCGTCCTCATGTGATTGGCTGGCATATTTGACCAGTCACTTTTGATTTCCCCGAATCACTGATACCCCGCATGGTGCGGGGCCTCGAGGCCGCATGGTACGGCGGATCAGAAAATGGGCACTTTGCCAGAGAAACTGGGTTCGTGGAAGATTCGGGCAGTTGAAAACGCCAGCAAAAAAAAGGGTGTTCGGGAGGCATTCCATTATTGTCTGGCTCGGGGATGATCCGCTTATATCGAGCCAAGATAACCCTTCACGCGCTTATCAAAGAAGGTTCCAGGGTGATCGGTTTACTGTAGCCCATCCGCCGAGGCCCTTTTTTTAATGCCTACCGAGCTGGGCCTGGGTGTGATTCCCCCATCAAGCCTTCCGCCCGCACCCATCACCAGCACAATCCGCTCGCTCCCCTGATCCCAGTCGCGCGGACTCACCACCGTTGTTGGTTTGGGAGGAGGGGGGTGTCGGCGACCCTGTGAGAGTGTTTGAGAGGGTTTTCGCGGATGTGTTGCGTTTGTCGCTGTTGGTCTGGTTGGGAGCTAGCGAGGATACTGATTTCAGATCAGGTTCGAATGATCTAGGGCGTAACATAGAATCAACAAGTGATACATTTTAAAACATACGTTACTTAGTTTCGTAATATTCAGAACTGCTACCATAGTGCACAACAAATCACAATTGAATGTATGCCACTAGCATCCAAGTTTCCACACTATTTAACTGGGCAAAGACTCGTTTACACCCCTTTTCACATTCATCCATCGCACCTTCCCAGCTATGCGAGCTTCGAATTGTGAAAGCATATCGACAGTGTTTACATTGCAGGACATGTAGTGCCTGGGATTCAAGCCCTTTGACAACACTCTGGCAGGCACATGCACGACAAAGTACCTACAGGAGAGGAAGCAATTAGAGAAGCGAGCCCATGATACTCTAGCACAGGCATACACCTATTGTTGCACCAGTGCATTCAGAACACAACCTCACAACACAGTTCTCACAACCAAGAGCAACTGCGACTATACTTATCACCTGTAATTGCAGCAACACCTGTTTAAACACTCTAGACAAGTCATTGACAAAACTATTAGAGCAAGGATGTACGGTATGAGCACTACCAGATAAAGTTGATGGTGCTGCCATGCTGCTGTGCTGCCAGGTCGACAAAATGCACGACAATAGAGGGGTCGGGGGAAAGTAGTGTGAAGAGGTCGTGTTCAAGAATTGTAAGAAAACATGGCATTCCTTTCTAATAATGCAATGTTCAAAGCTTCTTGCGCTGCCTAGGCAATTCCTCTCACACACACCACCTCTTCTTGAGTAAGTTCTTCTTGCATCCTGCTGTGAACACGTTACCTGGTGTGATGAGCAAGGATGTTAGCAACAGAAGGAAAAAGCGATTCTGACATAAGTAAGTCTGGCGGTCAGCTCACACTGAGAGAAGTGCATGAAAGGACACAACCTGAGAAAATGGCTGGGAAGGCTTCTACAGGGAAGACATCGGCCGAATCCCTCTGCGAAAACCCGTTTGCCCCTGCGGGTTTTCCTCGGAGGGATTTTGGTTTTCCCGCTGTCGCGTGGCGGGGCACGCGAGGGGCGGGAGCCAACCCCCCCCTCCCGCCCGAAAACGGGCACCCCCAGCTGGCGCCAGCTGCGCGTGACGCCAGCAGCCCGCGCCCTCGAGCTGGCAGTGGTTCCCCCCCAACCGAGCCTTACCCCACGCTCGGTTCGTAGACGGGTTCCGTCCGGTAACCGACGGAACCCTCGCCCGGCGTAGCCTCGCCGACGGAACCCGTCCGCGAAATTTCGCGAGCTGACGGAAGCGGCGCCCATCCACGCCGCGCTGAACCGCACTCGCCTGAAAGGGCCCGTTTCGGTTCGCGCTCGACCCGGGTGACGTGTCGAACGCCCCCTCCACCTCGGTGAAAGGGCCTCCCTCCTGCATGAAAAGCGCCCCACCTCATGCATGCGCGCAACAGATTTCACGTCGAGGACAATAGGGCCCCACCGCCCCCTGCGAAAAGCCTCCTCCGGCCGTCGCAGAACGCGTCCTGCCTCGTCGCGCTTGCACCCGAGACTGACCCGGTGGGGGGGATGTCAACCAGCTGAAGCCTGAGAGAGGTCTCATTTTGCTGCTGTTTTCTTCAACTTTTCTCTCTCCCTACTCCCTAGTTTCAAACTTTCTAGCTCTCCCGCTCTCCCTTCTGCTAGGCCTGCCATGGCAACGGGGCCCGCCTCCCAACCCATAGTCGAGCCGACCGTTCGGCGCGGCCTCATCCTAACCGCAGGCAGGATCGAGGTGGAGGTGTTCGAGGACCAGTTAAACGCGATTGAGGAGGCGCCGAAGGCTGAGCTCGACGAGAGGATGGTCACCGCGGGCGTCGCGTACGTTTCTTGTCGAGCATTGTCGGTTGGGCCTGCTTTACTGTCGCTGACCGCTCGCTAGGTTTATATGCAGCCTGTTCTGTCGGGAGCTGATGCCCGTCGAGCAGCTCCCCATGGTGTCGATCATCACCTCGACGCGTGCGCACGAAGAGATGGCGCGTCCCACACCGGTCGCTTTTGCGGCCAACCACCTCGACGGCCTGCTCGGCAAGCAAGTTATTTTCGTTCTGCTGCGGACCACGTGAGTTTGACACTCGCCCCTCGCCTTTCGTGCTTTGTGTTTAGCCGTAAACCCGGGCTTATGTGCATTCGCTCTGCATGCAGCCTGACTGTGGCACCGGGCTCCCACTCGAGCCTGTTTGTGGTATCACGCCCCGACAATCTGCTGGCTCCGAGGCACCGTGGCTGTCGAACTCGAATGATGCACTTCGATTCGAAGGACAAGTTTGACGCGGTGAACCACCAATCTTCGCTGGCGCTGGAAGTTCTCAAGTGAGTGATCGTTTTGTGAGAATGAACGAGAATGAGGAGCCATAGCTAGGGTTTACCTAGATAGGCAAGAGAGAAATGAGCAAAGGAGGGGTTTGCACTAGCAAGCAGGTGGATACAAATAGGAAACCCTAAGGGGCTGTACTCGCTATAGAGTACCCCACTGCAGGCTAGACAAGCATTATATTCTGACACGTTTTGCCACGCTGCTGTCGAGCTGCTGCGCTGGACGATCTGACCCTGCTGTCCGTTGTCTTGCAGTTGGATGAAGAGGCAGCTTCGAGCCGAGTACGCGTTGACCCAACAGGTTGTGACCGAGGTCGAGCAGGAAGTGTTGAACGTCATGGACATTCGTCTGGACATGATCAGGAGTTTCGATAAACTGGTAAGCCCACCCTAGACCCGCAATGCTTTCGTCGAGCATGTGTTCTGTCGCTTACCTGTGCTTGCCAGTATGAATACGAAGAGGAGGAGGGTATCGAGGAGGATACATCGACGCAAGCTCAGCACGCGGTGAGCGGCCAGGGCGGCGATGCGAATAGGCAGGAGGACTCGAGCTCGGAATCGACGTCCGGCTCGAGCTCGAGCGATGAGTCTGTCGAGCACGATGGCGGGACGCAGCATACGGTGGAGCACGGAGTGGCGCTCGGGGAGCGGGTTGCTGTTGAGGAGCAGGAGGGCGAAACGGCTGTGCAGGCTGTCGAGGAGCAGGAGGGCGAAGCTGCTGTGCAGGAGCATGGGGCAGGAGTGCAGCACCAGGAGGAGGGCGGGGAGGCTGCGCAGGAGGGTGCGATAGGAGGGCAGCAGCAGGAGGGCGGGAAGGCTGCGCAGCAGGGTGCGACAGGAGGGCAGCAGCAGGAGGGCGTGACGGCTGCGCAGCAGGGTGCGACAGGAGGGTAGCAGCAGGAGGGCGTGACGGCTGCGCAGCAGGGTGCGACAGGAGGGCAGCAGCAGGAGGGCGTGACGGCTGCGCAGGAGGGTGGGGCAGGAGGGCAGGAGCAAGAGGGCGGGGAGGCTATGCATGAGTGTCTCCGAGGAGATGAGCGACAGGTCGGAGTTACAAGGAGACACCGCACGGCCAGTGGCAGCGGACAAGCGGGCCCATCGAGGGGGCGCCCGTCGACGGTGGGCCATTCGACGTCGGACATTGCATCCGGAGGCCAGGTTGTCGAGCTACTACAGAGGGTCGCGGAGGTGGAGGCGTCGCAGAAGCAGCTCGTCGCCGACGTATTTGCGAAGCATAGCGAGCAAGCCGTAGTTTTCAACAGGCTTGCTGCGGATTTTCGGACGGCCTGGGGAACGATTTCGGAGTCGTCGAAGAGCACGCTGAAGCAGTGCGCCGACGCTGTAAACGGCGTCACGGAGGAGAGGAAGCTGTTGGAAGGGGTGCGGACGAAGCTCGACGAAATGAGCGGAAAGATCATCGAGGGTGTGGCCGCCGCCATCGTAAAAGTGAGCGAGGACGCCGTCAAGAAGCAGCTCAAGCTGGTCGAGGAGCGGCTGGCTGCTTCGGTCATGAAGGGTATCGAGAATGCCGTCAAGGACTTGTTCTACTCCAACCTCCCACCCGAGACCATGAAGCAGCTGAAGGACATTGTGAGAGAAGGCCACCTGGAAGGTGAAGCGGGGAGATTGGAAGTCCTCACCGAAGCGGTGGCGAGGGGGTTACAGCGCTCGACGGGCCCGTCGACGAGATCGCGTCAGGAGGGTGTGGCAGGGGTTCGCAGCGGGACCGAGCCTCGACTTCACACGGGCGTGGTTCCTCCTTCTTCTTCGGTGGGAGGACATGTCGGCAGCCGGGTAGCATCACCACCGTCGCGTGGCCGTCATCCCGTCGCCAAGTCCGTGGAGGATAACGAGGTCATAGTACTCGACCAGTCACCCCTCCCGAAGAGCTCCGAAGCAGCTGCGATGCCTCCAACTGATGCATTTGCTCCGATGCGCGACATTCTGCAGGGTTTGGGGATTACGGGTGGGAAAGGAGTGGTTGCGGGGGAGAAAAGTGGTGCCGCAATCGATTCCGTCGCCGCAGACGGGAAAAAAGCCTTGGGAAAGCGAGGTGTCCCCACCCCGTCCGGAGGCGCTGCGGGCCAAGGGGCGGGAGAGACGTCAGCTGGGTTGTTGTCGAAGACAAAAGCAGCATCCGCTGCGCAGAGCGGTGGTGCTGGCCGTCCTGTCGAGTTGGTAGGATATTGGGCGTCTTCCTCTACCCCTGCAGTTGCTCCTGTCGCTGCTCCGGCCCTGGGCGACGTCTGCCTTAGCGATCCGGGTTCCCCTTCGACGTCGAAGAAGAAGCCGGCTGCGACGAAGTCGTCGAAGCGCTCTGCACAGGCTACAGAGAGCTTTGACGTCGTGGAGCTGGCCAGCCTCTCTGGCCAGGCTCCTGTCGTGAAGACGTCTACCGTCGTTGCTGCTCGACAGGAGAAGGCGAAAAAGGCCAAGGTCATGGGTTACACCCCACCTCCTCGACCGGACGACCAAGGCAAGACGAGAGGCAGCAAAGCTCCCTTCAGAGGACCGGGTTTCGGGTTGCGGAAGGGGAAGCCGGTTTCCGAGCAGACCATCGGCGGGAGGAAGCGGTTCCTTGGCACTTTTGAAACAGAGAAGGACCAGAAGTTCTGTACGGCCGTCTGCTGGCGCGTGTACTTCCCCGACATTGTCCTTACGGAGTACGAAGGGTACACGGCGCAGGATGAGAAGGACTGGAAGGTCTACCTCGATGCGGCCGCAGAAATGCCAACCGGCGTTTGGAGCGTGGCGCAAGAACAAGGGGAATGTCGTTTCGACGAGTGAGTCCTGTCGAAGTCATGTTGTTCGACTCTGCTGTTGATTTCCTGCTGTTTTGGTGAATTGTCGAACAACTGCTGTTTGGCGGTGAATGTGCTGTCGGTCGAATTCTGGCCTCTTAACTAACGCATTTGTTGCAATGTGCAGTTTCAAGTCACTGTTGGCGACGGCAGAAAATGAAGTGAGAGCTGGAACCGATAGGGGAATCGCGCTGTGCGTGGCGATTGGTAAGGTCGCGACGCTTGGCCTGAAGCACGGGAACCTGATTTACCCGGTCCCGAAGGGCATGGCGGCGACACCGCACATGATGGCCATCGCAGCAACTGTGGCGAGCTTGTGGGCGGCCTGCAGGAAGTTGAGAAGGATGCCCTAGCTGCCGCAAACGCTGCGCTCTACGCCCCGGAGACTGCAAGCAAGGCTTGTGTGGCTGCCATGGCCGCGCTCGTGTCCATACTTTTGCACGTCGGCAAAACGTTCCTGGCGAAGCAGTGGCCCGATCAGCTGTATTCGACGGCTGTCCAAGGTCTCGGCTCGACGGACGCCATACTGTTGCAGATGCTGCGCGTGGCAGCACAGGTCTGTACGCAATGGTGCTGCTGTCGAGCTGCTGCGCGCTTGCTAGAGGACGCGGGCTATGGCAACCTGGCAATGCCAGAAGAAAAGAGCAAGGCGAAGCTGGGCGACGAGGATGCTGCGGAGACGGAAACGGCCGGGCAAGGAGAGTAGTCTAGGGCGGCACTTTGCGTGGGGGAGTTTGTATCTCTCGACAGTAGTGTTTGTTGTTTCCAAAGTTTAATCGACAGAATGTACATGTTGTTTGGTTCTTGACTTCTCGTTTTCGATAATGCTCAGAAGGTTTATATAGACGAGATCGTCGCCCAGGAATGAAAACCTGCCATGCAATTTCTGAAAGAACAACCTACTCTAGTTTCCCCCCTCGTCACGGTTGCCTGTCGAACTTGGATTCTCGCCCACTGTTTTCATGAACTCTTTCCATTTGTCTTTGAACACGTTCTCGGCCCATTCCGTGGTTCGAAGTTCGACGCGAATGAGCTCCCGCGTGATCCTGAGGCGATCTTTGTCCTTCCGGTTCTCTTCAGCTGTCTCGACTTTGCGCTTCTTCGTGAGCTGCTTCCTCGAATCCTCCTTGAGAACGAGCCCTTCCGCCAGCATGTTGATCGAGTGCTTCGTGACTATTGAGTCAAGCTTATCAACGATCGTCGACGTAGCCGCGCTGCTGTCGTCGACCCTGAACATCTCGACGGCCCTCATGATAACCTCCATCTTCCGCAATTTCGACTCGACAGCTTTTGGGGTCGGTGGCTTTTCTTTTGGCTGGTCCACCGCAACGGGGGGAACGGGGGGAGGAGTCGGAGTGAACTTGCTGAACTTGACGGCGAAACCTCTCCTGTAAGCGTGTCGAAGACTGTGTCCGTTGTTCAGCGGGCTTGTCCCGTCCCAGTACGACCACGCCTGCCGCACGGTCTCGCAATTGCACCACGGCCACACCACTGCGTCGAAGAATGCTTGGTCGAGCTGGCTGCCCACGCTCTATTGAGTAGGTGCTGATTGTGGGGCTTGCTGTGGTGGCGGGGTGGTTTCTTCGGTCGCCGTATGTGGCACGCTCTCGCTCCCCCCCACATTCGCAGCTGCGGTTGTCGCCGCGGTAATCTTCAGTGCGTCGAAGGCTTTCTGCAGTTGCGCAAGAGCTTCTGCCTTCGCCTCCATCTCCGCTTGCATCGCGCCCTTCTCCCGCTCCAATGACTCGACCTTCTGCTCGAGGTGCTTGATCTTGATTTCTTTTTTCCCTCCCTCCTCCTTGTGTAAGTTAACCTCGGCCCGTAGTTGCGTGATTTGGTGCTTGGTGTTGAGTTGAAAGGATGCGTCCTGCGCACAAGATCACGAGCGGTAAGTGGGCTGATGCAAACTGTTCGGATTAAGATTTGGAAGGGCCACCTTACCGAAGCTCTCGACAGCGTGGGGTTGGTCCGCATCTCGATGCCGTACTTGTCGAGCAAGTACACGTCAAGCGCCCATTTTTGGAAATCCATGTCCTTGCACAAACCCGACATCTGTGCATAAGGGTGACGCTCGCAGTCGCAAACAGTCACTCCGTCGAAGGGGTGGTCGTCACAATGGACGTAGTACATCGCAAGATCCTCTGCGATGGGCATTCGGGCAGCTTGCAGGGCCTTCAAGAAACTTTTTGCTGCGAAGAACATATGCTCCTTGTCCTGCTCGTTGTTCCATTCCATCGCCTGAACAAGAACAAACGTGGTGACATTGAGAGATAGACGGGCAAAATTTGCATTCGATGATTACGCTATGCACTCGACGCATCCATACCTCGTCGAGCCACTGCTCCGCCTTTGGAAATATGTGCTCCTCGATAGCCTTCAGGACCTTCGCGGGTACTTCGCTCTTCGATCTTCCAAGGTAATAGTCACCCGGTTCCGTCGTGAAACCCGCTTGCAGCTGGATGGCCCCGCGCGGGATGCCTGTGACGTATGACCTGCACATCTCGTTCATGTCCCATTGACCCAGCTGCGCGATGTTGTTGAGTTCACAGTTTTTGTCGGCGAGGATCTGTGCCGCAGATCGTCGAAAGATGTGTGTGACTTTCGACAGGATCCACTCCGCGCTTTTCATCGCCCAGGTAACCCATTTGGCATGAGTCGCGTACGGCAACTCGGTCTTGTCCTTGTCGAAGAGAGCGAAGAACAGGTGATTCTTCGACCAGTTTTCCGGGTTGCTAAAATCCAAGGGGGGCACGATCTTATCGTTGTTGTAGTGGAGCGGCACAAGGTCGAAAAGGAAATGTATCCACATGAACACTGCTCCGAAGCCGCACTGCCGGAAGTCCATGTGTCGAGTCAGGTACAGGTGGCCGAGCTTGTTGTCTTTGATGGTCTTCGAGTTGCGATAGGCGACCACGAGAACGTGGATCGACGATTCCCCCTTGCTGTTCGTGATGGGCGGAAGGACGTGAGTGGACATATTGCAGTAGCGGATCTCGCGGATGCTTATCCCCCTGCCTAGCATGTGATTCGCCATCAGGATCATCACCCTCACGGCCAAGGCCCTCCACAGCGACTGACTGGGGTAACCCATCGACTCCCGAAAGTACTCCTTGGCCCAGTACGGCAGGATGTCTGAAACGAGAATGCGGAACTGCTCCTCCGTGTAAACATCGTCGAGCGAGCCCTGGTGTGGATCGACGCACTGCCTGCATTGAGTGGGCAGATACAGCGATTAAGGGGTGAGAATGTGAGTGAGAAGTTTTATTCACCAGTGTATGGCAGCCTACTTACTCGAACTGAAAGTCGTGCAGCTGCCGCAGCTTGACCGCAAGAAGCTGCCGGGCCTCGGTGATATCTGTCAGAAGGTTATCTTATGCTCTAGCCTGTAGTGGGGTGCTCTATAGCGAGTACAACCCTTCTAGGGTTTCCTATTTGTATCCCCATTCTTGCTAGTGCAATCCTCTTCTTCTCTCTTCTTTCTTCTAAACTTTAACAATATCGTCCAAGGGTTTCGTTAGTGGCTCGTCGAAGAGTATGGCCTCTACTCTGCAGAAGCACGTCAGCGCAGTAAGGCGAGCCAGCATCATCGGAGGGGTGTTTTTTTTCGCCTTCCTGCCAGCGACTCTGGTCCGGCCTGTATCCAAGGATTCCGCCTGTTTGTCGGTTTCAGTCGACATGTATTCGACGTATGCGCGCAAGCGCCATTTCGTTATTTTCGGCCCATGCAGATGCTCCTCGTTACGGAGCGCCTGCCTCCATCTCGGCCCCATATCGTCGCCGATCTCCCTACCGACCTCGTCCTCGTGGATCACCTGCTCCTCTTTAGGCACTCCGTTGTTTCTTCCGGGTGCCAGAGTTTTACAGGCCCAAGCTTTGTAGTGCATGCTTCCAGAGACATAATTCGGCCGGGTGGAATCCTGGTCAACTCCCAGCAGCGGAACCTCACAACGGAGAATCCTGCTCTTAAGTGTTCCCGTCGCCAAGTACGGATTGCCTGCGCCCTGTTGGTCGCCGAGAATGTGCGCGGCATCATCCTCTGATATATTTGCCGCAGCAGGCCGCAGAGGGTCCGGCGGTTCGACATCGTCCGCCTCCCGTCCGATCATCCTCATCGTCCGTCGCTTGAGGGACGTTCCTGGCTAAGTCCTCTCTGCTTGGTCTCGTCGAAGTGCGCCTAGGAGCGAAGGGGGTGGCTCGAGAAGAGGATGTGCCGGCTGGGGGTGGTTGTCGAACCTCAGGCGGAACAACCCTCGCTCTCCTACGTCGCCCACCTGTCGAGGTCGGTGCACCAGCCGAAGGTTCCGTCGAGCGGTTGGCTGTCGACGATGGTGCACGGTGAGGTGGAGCCTCGGGTGTAAAGGGGGCATTTGTTGTCGAGATGGGTTCTACCACAACAGGTATGGATTGACCTGTCGAAGGGAACTCGGTCTGAGCACCACCCACTTCAACAGTGACCGGAATACCCGTCGAACGCTGTTCCGTAACAACCGGCTGTATTACTACCGGTATGGCTCGCGACGTCGAGGTGGGCGCTGCCACCTCCGGTATGGCACGCGTCGTCGAAGGAGGCGCTGAAGAGACCGGCCTGGCTCCAGACGTCGAAGGGGGTGGTGTCGAGATGGATTCTAATTCGACAGGTATCCGTCCTACTTCCGCCTGCCGGGAAGGCGCTGTCGTCGACGGATCGTTCTTCATCACTGCTCAGTGCAAGCTACCATTTCTCCCTAAATCCTGGCCTTCAGGGAAAACTGTGTTGATTCTACTATAGATTTAGGTTTATACCGTGTTTGGGCTGATGTTGCTCCCCGTGGAGACCATGACATCTGACGTGGCCGTCAGCAGTTGACGTGACCGTTTGATTGCGACAGACGTAACCCGTCGCCCATCCGACAGCGACAGTTCGCTCGACCGATGAGGCGACAGGTCGGCCGCAGTTGACGTCTCCGTCGATTGCGACCGTCGGCCGGTTGAGAAACACGTTTCGCAACCGTCGACCGTCAGCGCCACGGTGTAGGCGATTCCCTGGCGACTTGCCACCGGTGTAACCAGTGTTGTCGGGGGTGCACGGAGCTCGACGGCGATTGGCCAATGTCCGTCGAGCACTGTTTGACAAATGTCCCTCAATTTCCACTGTTACGGCTGACATATATATTGTCATTAGAATACGACATTGAACCCGCGGGTTTCGGAGGGTTTTTTGGCCTGGTCAGCCGGGAATTTCTGGGGGCCCGGAGGGATTCCGCGGGTTTTTCGTTTTGCCTCAATTCCCTTTGTGCCAGGGCGGGCGGGGCGGCATGTGATGACGTCACCCGTGTGTATATAATTGGGTAAGACTGGGGCATTATTCGGCAAGGCTTGTACAGGGTATAAGAATGGTGCATAATATCATATGTGACAACACTTACCCAGATCAAACGAAGTGGCAATATCTACCCATTTCACATTCTTCCTGCGCTCAATCCCGCTCGTCTCCATTCTCTCCATGCCAGCGTCACCACCCACTCCCACTGCTTCTCTCCCTCCCATGATTCTCCCACCGTCACCACTACCCCTCACCCAACCTACCACCTGCCTAGTTGCTATCTGTCTAAAGCCACCTTTGCCAGGAAAAAAAGATCGACCGAAGAGGCACCAGACGCAAGGAACTGCTGTGACGGCAGTGGTAGTGTGAAGTGCATGGCACGCAGGGCAGGAGGAGGGGATGGGAAGTGAGAGAGAGAGGAACCCCTCTTAACTCTCTCTCCCTCCACAACCCACCCACTCCCTCAGTGGACAAAAAATTGATGCCCATCACACGCCCACTCCCGCCCCCAGCCCTCTCTCCCTCCCTCCTTCGCTACCTCCTTCCCCCTAACCGTTACCACCCTGCATTCAACGGCTGGGGGTTGGAGTGTGGTTGGGAGAATTGGCGTGGGTAAGGTTGGGCGTCGGTGGGGGCATATGCGTGGGCGAGAGTATGGGTGTGGGAAGGAGTATGGGCATGGGTGAGAGAGGTAGCAGCAGCAGCAATGGTGGCGTCAAGGGAGCAGTGAGCAGAGGAATTCATGGGCGCCCTGATGGTGACGAGAGAGATGGGGTAGGATTTGCGTACGGGCGAGATGGGCGAGAGGGGCGAGATGGGCAAAGGGAAGGAGAAAGATATTCCAAGCGCATAAGGGCACAAAATGAATCAAGAAAAATCGACTAGACTCTCGCTGCAGCTGCAGCCTGGGCACAAACTTCAAAGCAGGCGCACAAAGATCCCCATCCTGCAATTCCATCACACCCTCATACACTCCCCCGCGACCTACCTCTTTTACTCATCCCATCCCCCCTCTGCTCTTTCCCTGCCAGCATCTGCTCTGCTGCCATGGCCCTTGCTTAATCCAGACCTTCCCGCACTAATCCCACCTTCTTTTCCTGCACTGCTCTCAACCACTGCTCTCACCCGCTGCTCTCACCCGCTGCTCTCACCTGCTGCTTTCACCCGTTGCTTTCGGCCACTGCGCTCACCCGCTGCGCTCACCCGCTGCGCTCACCCGCTGCGCTCACCCGCTGCTCTCACCCGCTGCTCTCACCCGCTGCTCTCACCCGCTGCTCTCACCCGCTGCTCTCACCCGCTGCGCTCACCCGCTGCTCTCACCCGCTGCTCTCACCCGCTGCGCTCACCCGCTGCGCTCACCCGCTGCTCTCACCCGCTGCTCTCACCCGCTGCTCTCACCCGCTGCTCTCACCCGCTGCTCTCACCCACTGCTCTCACCCGCTGCTCTCACCCGCTGCTCTCACCCGCTGCTCTCACCCGCTGCTCTCACCCGCTGCTCTCACCCGCTGCGCTCACCCGCTGCTCTCACCCGCTGCTCTCACCCGCTGCGCTCACCCGCTGCTCTCACCCGCTGCTCTCACCCGCTGCGCTCACCCGCTGCGCTCACCCGCTGCTCTCACCCGCTGCGCTCACCCGCTGCTCTCACCCGCTGCTCTCACCCGCTGCTCTCACCCGCTGCTCTCACCCACTGCTCTCACCTGCTGCTCCTGCCTGGGTGGGAGAGTTGGTGGGGCAGAGTCGGTGTATAGGAGAAGCAGGTGCAGAGCTGTGGGGGGGTGGGGAGAGAAGGGGGGGTTGGGAGAGGGTAGGAGAGGGGGAGGGGATGGGGAGAGAGAGGAGAGAAGTAAAAGGGACAGTGGCTTATGAGAGGGATGTGGTGTCGGAGACAGTGCCGTATGGGCCCGAACGCGAACCTATCGGCCAGAAGTTTGTATAAGAGACGCAGGTGCTGAGCGGGGTAGGAAGAGGCGGGGGAGGAAGAGGAGGGGGAGGAGGGGACAGTGTGTTGATGAGACGGGTGCAGGGAGGAAGGATTGGGAAACCAGAGTCATAGGGGCGTGAGTCTTCGTCCGTGAACGGAACTGGCGCGAAGAGGGCAAGGGGTAGTGCTTTGGTGAGTGGTATGCTTCTGTGGTAGGGTCAGATATCAAATTATCACAATGCGTTTGATGTGAGATACGCACATGCAAGGCTGGATGGACGGGATAGGAGGGGGATGAGATTGGGGTCCGGGTCGGAAGAGGGAAGCAGGAATTGGGAGGATAGGGAAGGGAGTTGCAGGGGGCATGAGGGTATCAGTCTCACCTTGGTTGCAGTTACCTCCACTCACTCTCACAATCACTCTCACCATCTCCTCGACGACTCTCACAGCTGCTCAACTGCCCTTTCCCACCATCACTGGTGATTGGCTCGATTAACTCCAAAACGCATCTCCCCCCCGGTCCCGCACCGATCCTCACCCTGGCGATAGCCAGCTTGTCAACAGTCCTCCCCCCCCGCCCGTTGCCACCCATCGATAACACCCCTGTCATCCTCTGAGGCCTCCACCAGCCCCAGCAACACCCCTCCGTCACCACCGCTTCACCCCTCACCCTCCTCACGCCCCTACCCCACAGAGACCCCTCATCGCATCTCACACACATACCCACCCCTCACCGAGTCGCACACACATACCCACCCCTCACCGACTCGCACACACATACCCACCCCTCACCGACTCGCACACACATACCCACCCCCCACCCCTCGCACACACATACCCAGCTCCCAGCCCCCAGTTGTTTCGCACCGAGGTTATATCCACCTATTCATCTGCCCCCACCCCTTACCTACTCTCATCTTGGCACAATCCAGCTTGTCAACGGCACCCCGCCCATCGCCGATAACGGCCAAGCGTTCTCGCGTCTGCCATCGTTCTCGCGTCTGCCATCGTTCTCGCGTCTGCCATCGTTCTCGCGCCTGCCATCGTTCTCGCGCCTGCCATCGTTCTCGCGTCTGCCATCGTTCTCGCGTCTGCCATCGTTCTCGCGTCTGCCATCGTTCTCGCGTCTGCCATCGTTCTCGCGTCTGCCATCGTTCTCGCGTCTGCGTCGGCTGGAGATAAGATCGCCCGAGTGGATGGAAATTCCAGCAACTATTGCAGCGCTCCGAAAGCTCACATGCTTGGAGATCAACGCTCCAAAACTGCCTTCCCTTCCTGGTTCCATTGGAGCACTATCCAGATTAGGCAAGCTGATCCTGTCCGATTGCCGAGCTCTCACGCATCTTCCTGCTTCCCTCACGCAGCTCTCCCACCTCCACAAGTTACATCTCTTCAAGACCTGCATCAGATCTCTTCCCTCCAACTTTGCGCGGCTTAGCCGGCTGCAGGTCCTCAATTTGCTTAATTGCAAACAGCTGGAGGCTCTGCCTGATGATTTGGGAGAGCTGAAACTGCTGGATAGGTTGATCACAGATGGGTGTGACGAGTTGCAGCACGATCAAGCTTCGTCTGCCTGGGGGGTAAAATTTTGTACAGGTGGGTTTACTAGTTCTGGCTGATGGAAACTAGGGGACCTGGTTGCTCATCCTTGTAGGCAGCAGCAGAGTGTAAATCCTGTTTGATTTTTGGCACATGTGCCATGCCATTGATAGCTTGTAATCATGCACGTATAGCCAAATACTGGATGGAGTGTAGGTTGAGTTGAGAATGAAATATATTCATGAAATATATTCCAGGCTTCCTGTTGGACTTGACGCCTGAAACAGCAGCTTCTCGCACCTGCAGGATATATGTAAAGAAGGTTGAAAGGGAGAGAAGAGAGAGAGAAAAAAAAAGAAATTGTGCATAAAGTGTGTTTTTTTTCTGGAAGTTTGAGCAAGAAAAGTGTGGTGGCGGGAAGGTGTGAAAGAACGAGGAATGAATGCACTAGGAAACAGGTGGGTACAAGTAGGAAAACCTAAAAGTGTTGTACCCTATATTGTCAACCCCACTACAGCCTACACAGACTGTAGCATATAAGTTTGACACACCCCCATAGGCAAAGTGGGGGAGAACAAGAGGTCACAAAACCAGTCAAGCAAAGCACCGTAAGCTCAGGGTGGATCACACCGTCACCACACATTCCGAGCACAAGTTCAAGGCCACAAGGCCAGTTCACATGCAAGATTATATATAAAGGTAAACAAGCAAGTGCAGGTATAGATGGATCACAGTACAAGCAAGGTCAAGCAGTGAGCAAGTGAGGCCAAGTAGGCACAAGTCCTAGCATCGTACAAAAGCGCTGATGATCACAAGGCGGAAGTGCCTTGGTAAAGATATCAGCAGTGTTGGCCTGAGAGGCCACGTAAGCAAGGCGCAGCTGACCACGCTGCTGCAACTCACGAGCAAGGAAGTAGCGAAGAGCAATGTGCTTCGTTCTGTGCTCCAGTCTGTGCTCCCGACACAAGGCCAGCATGGCCTTGTTGTCTATGTACAGAACTGGAGGAGAACGAGGCGGCTCTCCTAGGTCAGTCAGCAGGTAGGTGAGCCAGCGTAGCTCCTGTGCAGCCATGGCCCCCGCGTAGATCTCAGCCTCACAGCTGGAGCCGAGAACAGAAGACGAGCGGGTAGACCGCCACGAAACAGAGCCGGAACCAAGGCTGAAGGTGTAACCCTGTGACGACCGCTGCGTAGCCTGGTCGTCAGCCCAAGAAGCGTCTGCGTGACCTGTGAGGACCACTGAACGCCGCCCTCCAAGCACTAGCCCCATGCCCGACGTACTGCACAAGTAGCGCAACACCCTCTTCGCTGCAGTCATGTGCTCTGGTCGGTGTCTCCCAGGAGCAACATAGCGTGCCAAGATGCTAAGAGGGTATGCAAGGTCAGGTCGAGTGCAGGTCATCAGGTACATGAGGCAGCCAACAAGCTCTGGGTACGGGCCACTCGGCTCTACGGACTCATCCGAAGGCAGAGCTGAGAGCGAGTGGCGAGTAGACAGAGGAGTGGCCTGAGGCGAGGAGTACGTGAAGTCGAAGCGCTGAAGGACCTGCTGCACCATGTGTGACTGAGTCAGGGTAATGGTGCGCTGTGCTCTGTCCTGGGTGATCTGCAAGCCAAGGTAGCTGCGCAGTTCACCCAGGTCTGTGCACGTGTGTCTCTTCTGCAGCTCGGACTTCACGTGGGCGAGTCCAGCAGTGTCAGCAGTGGCAAAGACCAAGTCGTCGACGTACACGAGGATGTAGAACGGCGGCAAAGAGGTGTCGGTACGTAGAAACAGCGACGGGTCGGCAGTAGAAGGAGCAAACCCAAGAGCCGCAAGTGTAGTCCTCAGTGTGTCGTGCCACTCACGGGGCGCCTGGCGGAGACCGTAGACTGGCCGCCGGAGGCTCCACTGGGTACCAGGAGGAAACGACCCAGTGAAGCCAGGTGGGCGGCGCAGCCAGATCTCCTCGTGCAGGCTGCCCTGCAAGAAAGCTGTGCTGAAGTCAAGAGAGTGAAGCTCGTAGTCGCGCTGAGCGGCTATGTGCAGCAGCACCCGAAGAGTGGTCATCTTCGGGGTGGGAGAGAAGGTCTGAAAGTAGTCAACTCCCTGCCGCTGACTGAAGCCTCGAGCCACGTAACGCGCCTTGAAGACAGGCGGAGAACCCGGCGGCCGCTTCACCCTGAAAATCCACATGCCACTGACGATGTTCGCCCCAGGTGGGGGAACCTCGTCGACGTAGGTCCCCGTGGACTTCCAGGAAGCCATCTCTGCGTCCATGGCTGACTGCCACTGTGAGGAGTAGGGACCCTCGATCGCCTCAGCGTACGATCGAGGAGTCGGGATGTCTAGCGCATCCGGGTCTCCCTCAGGTGCAATCAGCATGGACACGAGATGAGGCAAAGCAGCAGCAAAACACTGGAACTCCTCCTGCCTGTCCTCAAGGACGTTCGTGCTAAGAGCACACTCACCCCCGACGGACGGAGGACAGACAGACTCAGACTCAGCAACAACACTAGCAGCGTAGTCTAGACGACAGCGAGCAGCAAATTCGACAAGCTCAGCAACTAAGGCAGACGCAGCATTGGACTCAAAGGAAGGGTCAGTGACAGCAGTAGCCAGAAGACGCGTGACAGTAGGACTGGCAGCACGAAGGGAGTCAGACTCCGGGTCAGCAAGAGCAGGAAGAGAGGACTCTGGAGGAGACGGCAAAGGGACACGCAGTGGAGCAGTGGAAGGACGCAGCGCCATCTGGTGTGTGCCTGGGACCGCAGGAGGACGCGGACGCGGAACACGACGACTAACAGGCGACGCAGGACGAGACGCAGGCTCACGACGCTCAGTAAGACCTCCAGTAGGACCAGTGTAGGGAGAAGGAGCAGGCAGCGGGGAGGCGGGCTGTAACTGCGACTCAGACTGGACAGGCGGCGGACACTCTAAGGAAGGAGCAGGACCAGTAGAAGGCGGGAGACTAAGAACCTGCTCAAGGAGCGGAACGAAGTACGGCCGCGGCCGCGCAGCGCCTCCAGAGCCAGCAGGGACAGCACCAGCACCCCCAGTGGCAGCACCAGCACCAGTAGCACCCCCAGCTGCAGTACCGCCAACTCCAGCACCCTCAGAAGCACCAGCGCCAGCAGCACCTCCAGCGCCAACACCCCCAGCAGCTCCAACTCCAGCCGGACCACCGGAAGACTCAACAGCCACAGCTCCAGCAACTCCAGCAGCACCTACTCCAGCAGCACCGCCAGCTGCAGCACCGCCAGCAGCTCCAGCACAAGGAGCACCCCCAGGCCCAGCAGCTCCAACACCTCCAGTACGAGCACCTCCGGGACCCGTGGCACCAACACCCTCAGTAGCAGCAGAACCTCCAGCTCCAGCAGCACCTCCAGCTCCAGCAGCACGGCTCCAGCGCCGAGCAAACCACTCGCGCAGCTCCTGTGGAGAGGGCAGCTCCCGCCGGGACGAAGCACCCGAGGGACCTCCAGACCCTGTACCGCCAGACTCCACACGAGCAGGCCCAGCACCCTCAGGCTCCGCACCCCCAGGCTCAGCACCCCCAGACTCAGCACCCCCAGACGCAGCACCCCCAGGCTCAGCACCCCCAGACCCCGCACCCGCAGGCTCAGCACCCCTAGCAGCACCAGAGTCAACAGCTACCTCGACAGGCTCGACTGCGTCTACCTGAGACACACCTGAGGGGGCAGGACCCTGAGGGGGAAGGGGGTCTACCGGGGGGGGACCTGGCGCGAGGAAGAGCGGCGGCGGGGGGAGGGGCGCAGTGCGGTAGGGGAAGAGACGGTAGTAAGGAACCGACTCGTCAAACGTGACGTCCTGGGAGGACAGAACACGGCGCGAGGTGGGGTGGTAAAACTGCCAACCAGGCGCGTCAGGGGGAAAGCCAAGGAAGACGCAGGGAACAGCGCGGGGGGACAGCTTGTCCGCAGACAAGTCGCGGACAAAAGCGCGAGATCCCCAGACACGAAACGCAGACGCATCGCCAACCTTCCCCGTCCACCGCAGAGTAGGGGAGGTCTCCGGCAAGGAGACTCGGGGCTGAAGGTTGATCTGATGCGCCGCGTACTGAACCGCGAACGGCCA